AATAATCCTACACCTACGTACGTAGATGTGGCAAAGCCCTTTTAAGTGGGGGTGAGCCCGAGCCCTCATCCCTCTATTATCAATTCTAATCCTGCACATCAGTTTGTACATAAAATCTTTAAGTAAACCTTTGTAGATGTACCATTATTCTAAGATTTATTACCGCCCATATAAGCTATAGAAAAGAATGAAACAAAGTACAGTTAAGAAAGATTGGCTACCTGCAGGAAGAGCAGAGGCTTGCCAATGACATCTCTCGTGTTGCCGGCGTCGCCCAAGAACTCCTCGACACACGGGTACGGCGGCACCAGCGGCTGCCCGAGGTCCTCCAGCCGCATGTCCGCTGTGGCCTCCACGAACATCACCCCTTCCCCCGTGCAGTCCACCACCAACTTGTTGCCGTCGGGGAGCTTCCTCAGGCGTCCGGCCATGGGGTAGTAGTACACGAGAGCCCCCGCCACGGCCGCCTTGATGCCCTTGGCCACTTTGCCCGGCGTGGTGCTCTCTCCCGGCGGGCCGCGGAAGAAGCCGACGATGGACTCGTAGAACCGCAGCGACCACTGGTCGTCGAGGTCGGAGAGGGCCTTGGTTTCGGCCGGCGTCGGCCGCGCCGGGCGCACCAGCTCGGGCTCGCTCCGGCGCGCCGCGAAGGTCACCATGGCACGGCTGAGTGTGTGCGGGAGAGTAGCTAGCACTTGAGAGGCAGCAAGGCTGGAAGGCGACTCGTTGCTGTTGTTTGACATGAGCGATGGGGATACATGCATATATAGCCACATTCACCTGGTGATGAAGTGGTGAAGTCATGGCGGTGGCGATAGCGACGGCGACGGCGAGTGGTTCAAGGATGGCAGGATAAGAAAGAGTAGATCGGGGCGTACAGAGTTGAAGTGCCGTAACTCTTTGAACGAACGGGAATCATCAAGTCGCGCCGGCCGACCTGCAGGTGAAGTTGTTTGACCTGATTGGATTCTCGTACGGGGCTCTCGAGAATCAAGTCGTGCCGGCGCGGCGATGCCTGCGTACACGACAGCACGCCAACTTTGGTCCGTTCATCGCCGGCCACTGCGCGGTCTTCTCATCGCTCTCCCGGTGATGTTGACCTAGGCCATCTTGTTTCGGCTCATCAAATCAAACTAAACAAGAGTAATTAATTTCTTTTACCTAGACACATGTGTTTGAGTGACACTTAATATGAAATGAAAAAAGTATGTTCTTAGAGCATCTTTGATCGATCCCCTATAATTTAGAGGAGGATACGGTCAAGTATCTTCAATGAAGGATAATTTTGTTTCTCTATCGATGGTCGAACCTAACCGATCCCTGATATTTGAAGGAAGATATTTCCTCCCTCAATTCTTTTAGCCTAGCCGCATACATTCCAGACAACATGTTATTTCACTAATCATTCAAATGATTCAAATTCAACATGCACAAATCTTCATCATCACTACCTCCAAGTCCACCACCACCTACACCACCACCACCATCTCATCCTTGTCCATCACCATCTCCATGGCCACAACCCCCATCCACACGGCCACCACCCCGATGTCCACAGCCACCACGAGCATCCACACGGCTACCACCATCATTCCAAAAAAAGACCTCCGTTTGGGTCAAGATCTCTCAATGAGCTAGTGAGCTCTCAAAACTTTTTTACCGTGCAATCCATTGTGACTGGCTTTATGAACATGATAGCACCTTCTTCGGCCTTCTCTTTTTCACAAGCTTGTACTCCTTGAGTGCAAGCCTATGCTCCTTCACCTTCAACTTCCTCTCTTCAGCCGCCAACTTTGACCTCCATTTCTCGTCCTCCAACAACTTGAGCTCATTCCATCTAGCCACATTTTCTTTGTTGTGTTCGGGTGCCAAGGCTTTCTTGGTCTCAATCATGGACACAAGCCCTACTTCGTAAGTGCCACCACATGCTCCTCTCCTCTTCCTCTCTTTTGCAATCTTGTTGCCATTTGGTCTTTTGTTGGCATTTTTATCCCCCCTCATCATCATCCTCAACGGGTATGCTCCCCTTGATCTCTTTAGTGTGGTCTTGGAGTTCCTCCTAATCCACTTCTCATTTTCACAAAGTTCTTTATAGTAATGGTGCAATGTGAAGGGCTTGTGACCGTACTTCTTTGTTGCGTTGCTTAAAAAGGTCTTGGATGATAGGCCCATACTCCGAGATTTGCACACCACTTGGTGGCACATGGTTGACTTGATCGATACAACCGGACCATCAATTGCACTGGTCTTGGATGGCATCCCAGCCGTTAGGAAGTCTTTATGGTTGATGGATTTGTAATTCAGGGTCGACATTATGATAAAGCTTCCCACTTTTGTAATAGGGAGTTCAAAGCTCACGAACATTTTGCTAGTGAATGTCATTTTTTCAAAAACTTAGGGAGAATTATCTCCTTCTAAATTTATATAAAAAATGACCCTTCTAAATATCTCTAGAAAAACTTGCCTGCTTAGTAGAAGCAATCAAGACGAGCTTCCCTCCTCATAATTGATATCTTGATGATTCGTGGGAGGAGACGGAAAAACATATAACATGCAAAATTTGGTGAGCTGCTTCTCACCGTCCTTTTGAATGTTCGACTTGAGCATACCAGACATTTTCAAAGAAAAACTATGAAGGTGCTACATTTCGCTTATAGGGCAACGAATGACCTAGCACTATTGATGGCAATGGAACTTCTTGTTTTCCTTTTTTATTTTGACATCCAAGTGTGACTTGCACATATAATTGTTTTTTATTTCTACTTTCATGTTTTAACGAAATTTCCAAACCATGCTCCTTTCATGTAAATAAATCATTTCACATGGAAACATTAAAATTATGGCCAAAAGGCGGGATTTATACTTTCTTTTTGCATGGTAATACATGTCTCGTTTATAGAATAAAGATCAAATTACAAGGCATGTAAGCACCGACCTTACATGACTGAAAAGATAGAAAATCCTATGCAAAATACCAACGTCTGTCACTCTCCTTCGACACCACCGAAGTGGCCACCAAAGGGTAAGCAAACAAACCACCTCTTCACCCTAACTCGATGCAACTCCATCGCTGATCTACAGCTTTACGGACCTCCAAAGTAGTTTGCCAGAAGCAAAACCATAGCCGTTGAAAGAATCGGACCGGGGCAACATGTCCCCAGACACACCATTATACTTGTCAACTGTAATATATGTAATGAAGATAAATACTATTATGTATAATTGTTAATAAAAGTAGGAAAATCACAATTCACAATACAACCATTGAGACAATATAGATAAAGAGCATGGCCAAATTGGATGTTGCCTATTTTCCTAATTATTTAATGGAAACACACAACCAACTTTGCTGGATATTTGGAGCAAGACACTAGGTGACCCTAAAAGTAAAACAACACATAAATATAACACCGTCTGACTTATTGTGTTATTTCTTTCCTACTTCTTCAACCAAATTGCCATCTCCTCCATAAACTTCACCATTGCAAGCTTAGGTAGTAAGATTGATACCACGGTTGAGTCCTCACCGTCTTTATTCTTGCACTTGGTATGATAGCTAATCAACTTTGAAGTGAAGTCACCAGCATGTGGTGTGCCAGCAGCAACTAGCTCGGCCCTGCCAAATTTTAGTGCATTGCCTCCAACCCACTTTGTATCACTAACTTCATATGTTCTGTCCATACCGAAAGGTGAACGCTCTCGCCATAATGCCATCAAATCAACCATTGACTTCATGCAATCATTTGTGGTGCCTACCTTGACTTTGTGTATCAGCTCAAGTCCATGTTCCAAGGGCTTTGTAACAAGCTCATTGACGGTGATCTCGACCATGGGAGAAAAATGTGCATTTCCATAGTAACCACGTGGGACAACACTTTCACCATTAATGCTTCTCCCACGTGTATTTAAAGTAAACATGATACGCACTTTCTGACTAGATCCATAACCAAGTGCCAATGTGCGACACCGCCACATAACCGTCGTAAGCAACTCAAAAGTTGTGGTGGATTTGGAAAGATGTTCTGAGAGGTGGCTCCTTAATATTGCTATTTCTTTCGGCCCAAAAAATAAATATTGCACTTCCATGCTTTCTGGCGAAGTTAATAGCATCACATCATCTCCCGTGCAGTCCAACCCATGAATAAACGTTTTATATGCTGGGTAGACATGTGTGATGGAGGGTGGCATACGTGCTCTGAAGGTATCTCGTTTCCACACGGGCAATGTGGTTGGGATGAGTTCACCACATGCAAAATCGGCTATGGATTTGATAAATTGGAGGATACCAAAACCATCAGCAATGCAATGGCACATGTGAAGCCCAATAACAAATCCTCCACACTTGAGTTGTGTCACCTGCAAAATACAACACATAGGGTTAGACCATGAATGGTAACATGCTCTGGTAGGAAAATAATTAAGATGGCCACTAAAGTCATCCATCTTCATATTTATATACTCATTTTTATAATTAAAATGGTAAGATAGGAGCATACATATATGCTTTCATTTGTATTTTGATGCGAGTGTCATGGACAAAGTTTTTTTACACTAAGTCATAGTGTTGATGAATAAATAATTTATTCATTTTACTTGACAACACCTTATAATTGGAGTGAATATGATTGTAACTATATGCTGCTAGTACACAACAAGAAAATACAAAAACAAATACCTGGCAAAAAAATGCCTATAGTTTTACCCAGCAAATAATAATGCATCCAAAACCTCAAAGTAATACTCCTCGCATACTAATGCCCGTAATAATTCTCATAAATAAACTACAGAAAGATCACAAGTGAAAACGAAACAAATACGGTTAAGAAACACTAGCTACCTGCAGGAAGAGCAGAGGCTTGGCAACCACATCCCTGGTGTCACCGGCGTCCCCCAAGAACTCCTCGACGCACGGGTACGGCGGCACCAACGGCTGGCCGAGGTCCTCCAGCCGCACGTCTGCCATCGCCTCCACAAACATCACGCCTTCCCCCGTGCAGTCCACCACCAGCTTGTTTCCCTCGGGGAGCTTCCGGAGACGGCCAGCCATGGGGTAGTAGTACACCAGAGCCGCCGCCACGGCCGCCTTAATGCCCTTGGCCACCTTGCCCGGCTTGACGCTTTCGCTCGGCGGGCTGCGGAAGAAGCCGACGATGGACTCGTAGAACCGCAGCGACCGCTGGTCGTCGAGGTCGGAGAGGGCCTTGGTCTCACGCGGCGTCGGCCGCGCCGGGCGCACCAGCTCGGGCTCGCTCCGGCGTGCCGTGAACGTCACCATGGCGGCGGAACTGGTTTTGGCGAAGGTGCGTGTACGTGCGTTAGAGAGATCGTTGCGCTGGGAAGGTGGAAGCAGTGTGGTTTGCCATGACATGCGCATCGAGCACACATATATAGGCACCAGCTGGTGAGTAGATGGAGTACATGCATGGCGATGGTCATGGTGACTGGTTCAAGCTAGGATGGCAAAGGCATGATGCCAAAAGCCAACTCGGTGTACAACGTTGAAGCTGTCAAGTGTTTGTAGCTCTTTGAACAAGTGAAGTGAGCCCGCCCGCCCGCCGCTGGAGAATCGGTTTCAGTTCGTGCCGGCCGCGCATATTCTTACGCGACTTTGAGTCGTCCGTCATCAGCTAGCAGCGCGCGGTAGGTAGGTAGGTAGCAGCTGCCCATAGCCACAGCCACAGGCACACCACACGCCATGCATGGATCGAAGCAGCATTTCGATTACCATATATACAGGAAAACGTAGGGGATAGACTCTACTTTTAATATCATCTTTTGTCGAGTTTATTTGATTCATATGTGTAAAAAATAGATTTTGCCCCGTTAATCCGAGTACAACGGGGAGAAAATCGTTGTCAGGACTCACTAGAAGCCACGCATATTCATGCCGCCAAGAATGTCATCGTCGCCGCCTCTCGCACTCTCGCAGGCTGGTGGGCGGTGGCTTCGACTTCTCCACGATATAGATTACCTACTAGCTAAACCCGCACGGCGTCCGGTATTTTAAGTGAATTCATAGTGTTTCGCTCTCCAGCCAATGGTAGAGACTAGAGAGCGCCGTATTTTCCTCGAGAAGAACCTAGACCATGTACCAAGTGGCTGTGTTTTATCTTTTGATAGGGAACATACCGAAAATCCCTAAAAGCCTTTCTTCTAAAAAAATCCCTAAAAACCTTTTGTGGGGGGAAAATCCCCTAGGAACTTGCTTTTTATTGCTTTGTAAAATTGTCTAAACGATCCTAAGAATAGTAATGATGCCTTTTTTGGAGATGTTTATTGTTTTCTTTATACAAACTTCTATGTAATTTTTGCATTGGAGGCGGGGAGACGGCCTATGGCGACGTGTAGAGAAGTAGTTTTTTTTTCTATTTAGGAAATCTAGAGTTTTTTGTTTTTGAGAAAAATGTGGACTCCAGTTTTTTGTAGGTGTTAAATGTAGTCTCTAGTGTGGATCCCAATTTTTTGAGATAAAAATAAAAATAGTTTTTCAGGGGTAAAAAATAAAAAATACTAGTTTTTTTTGTTTGAGAACTATATAAGAAAAACTAGTGGGGAACCGGAGTCCCGGAGGGCCGGAGACAACCGCAAGCCCAAGAGCCTCGGGGCCCATGACGCGCAAGCGGTTACGTTTTCGCCGTCCATTTCGAAGCGGAGGCGCGCGCCTGCGGTTCCGCCCGCCAGTTGCTGCGACTCATCCCCACCCCGCTCCGCTCGCCCTTCGCCGCCGCGACGGCAACCGCCGATGGCTCCTCCACGCCGCCCCCCTCCTTCCCGACCCGCTAAACACGCCGTGTTCCTCTTCCTCGCCGCGGCCGCCCTCGTCGGGCCCGCCGTCGGGGTGGAGATCCTCTCCAAGTCCCGCCTGGAGCGCTGCGCCCTGGACTCGGGGGCCGGCGGTGCCCTCGCCTGCGACCGCAAGCTCGTCCTCAACCTCGCCGTCCCCAGCGGCTCCGTAAGCCTACCCTCACCCCCCTCCTCCTCTCGAGCCCCAATCAATTCCCCGCCGCGAGTCGTGCTTTTTTTTTTACTGACGGTGTGTGTGTTCGGGGGCTCGATTCAGA